CAAAACCATGAGACTACTATAGCCTTCAACAACAGTGACAACAAACAGCAAACCCTGGGTAAGAAGCGAATCTGACGTCCAAAGTTAACACATTACTAATGTAATTAAATGCCAGTTTTCAACAGCAAAATCCCAGTTTTCAACAACAAAATCACAAGGCATACAAAGAAACAGGAAAACACAGCTCATTCAAAGGAACAAAATCAACTGTCCCTGAGAAAACTAAGACATGGGACTTACTAGATGAAGACTTTAAACAATCATCTTAACTATGCTCAAAGACCTAAGGAAAAAACATGAACAAGGAACTAAAGTTAATCAGGAAAACAATATGTGAATGAAATGAGAATATCAACAAAGAGATAGGAACTGTAAAAAAGAACCAAACAAATATTTCAGAGCTGAGAAGTACAATAACTGAATTGAAAATTTCACTAGAGGGGCTCAATAGCAGACTTGGACAGGCAGAATAAAGAATCAGCAAATTTGAAGACAGGACAATTAACATACACATTGTGGGAGTCCCAGGATGAGAAGAGAGGAAGGGTAAGAGAGAATATTTGAAGAAATAATGGCCAAAAATTTCCCAAATTTGATGAAATCCATGAATTTACAAATCTCCACAAACTTCAAGTAGGATAAACCCAGAGACCTATACCAAGACACATTACGATTAAACTGTCAAAAGACAAAGAAAGAAGCTTAAAAGCAGCAAGAGAAAAGTGACTCATCAAGTACAAGAGATCCTCAATAAGATTATCAACCAATTTATCATTAGAAACCTTGCAGGCTAGAAGGCAGTGAGATGAAGGAAAAATGCTGAAAGAAAAAAACTGAGAATTCTTTATCCACTAAAACTGTCCTTCAAAAATGAAGGACAGAGGCTTCCCTGGTGGCACAGTGGTTGAGAGGCCGCCTGCCGATGCAGGGGACACGGGTTTGTGCCCTGGCCTGGGAGGATCCCACATGCCGCGGAGTGGCTGGGCCCGTGAGCTGTGGCCGCTGAGCCTGTGCGTCCAGAGCCTGTGCCCCGCAATGGGAGAGGCCACAACAGTGAGAGGCCCGCATACCGCAAAAAAAAAAAAAGGACATTCACTTCATTTTTGACATTCCCTGGAATGTTAAAGGAGGGATATTCCCTGGGAAAGGACATTAGCAGATAAACAAAAGCCAAAGAATTTAAAAGGAAAATGCATAAAAACAAGCATAAATCTATGGTATTGGGCACATAATAATAAGATATAATTTGTGACACCAGAAATGGGGGTGGGGAGTTAGAACTTTATAAGCGAAGAGTTTCTGCATGCTACTGAGGTTTATTAAGTAGGCAACTTAAATTAGATAGTTATAACTTCTGGATGTTATACGTAATCCCCATGGTACCACAAAGATATATATATGATATACACAAAGATAAGTTTTTAGGATGAATGACTAAATTATCAATTATGCCATGTTGATGTTAACAAAATTTCTTTTCAATTTAAATAAAGTATGACTTGCAGAGAACTATCAACGAGCTACATTACGTAGTTCCTGCCCGAATGAATGGGTCTTAAAACTCCCATGACAAAGCATACACATTTGAAACATTTAAAAAATAACACAGAACATAATTTGTTAAATAAATTTAAATCAAATATACATATAAGGAAGTAATACAGGTGACTATGAAAAAGATGAATCAGTGAAGCTAACAGTTATAACTGAGAATGCCCTTGAAGGACATAAAACTTCTAAGATGGGCAAAAAATTACAGAAGGAAACAAAGTATTAGAGTTGATTTTATTCTAAATGGCAGCTCAGTTACTTTGTAATTGTAATTTTTAATTTTAGGTAACTCAGTTACCTAATCCACATAAACAATAGTAGCTTTAATATTCTTTTCTGTGCAATAAAAACAATAAAAAATCTATTTGTTTATTCCAGATTTACATCTCAGGCCCTAACCTCTCTAATCAGGTCCAACTGGCACTGATGACCCACTTCACTGCTCACTTAAATTTATACCAGGTGGATTTTCCCTCCACAAACCTTTCCTTCTCTAGTTTCTTCCATCTCAAAATAAATGAAACCACCATCCATTAAGTTGCTCAACTATCCTTGATTTACTTTTCCCTCACCCTAACCCCTAAATCCAATCCATAAATGGTGCCATTGAATCCACCTCCAGAGTAAATCTGAAATCCATTCATTCTTAGTCTAAGCCACGATCATTTCTCACCTTACTTAACAGCTTTTTAATTTGGTTTCTTTGCTTCTATACTTGGCTCACTACAATACATTCTATTAATATAATAAAGTCAAAATAATGGTCAAAATAATCTTAAAATATAAGTCATGAGTCATTATTCCCCACCTAAAATCCTCTAGCTCTATCCCAAATTAATTTCAACCACTTAGAGCCATTGCAAATAGTTCCCAAATGGCTGACAAGAGCGAGGTTTTGTCTCTCGTATTACTTTCTACTTGTTGTTTCTCTTTCTAAAGGAAATAACAGATGCCAAAGAGGAAGTTCTCTTCTCGAGTTGGCTCTGAAGCCAGGTTGCCTAGGTTCAAATCCTGGACAGCTGAGCAATCTTGGGGAAATTACTTAAGCCTCTCTGGGTCTCAGTTTCCCCTAGCTAAGATCACTTTTTGGCTGATTGGCTAAACTTGTAAGTAGTTACTACTCAATAAGGGTAGTATTTTATGGGGGGAGGCAGCAGGGAGCTGTATGATAAACAATTGATATTATCAATGGATAAACGCAAACCTGCTCCTGAATTATCCAGACATTTATTTCGGGATCACTATGGCCATTCTCCTCCCACTTACACTGCATCCAACTTTGGGGGGAACACTAAACCTTAAAGAGAATGGTTCCTAAATTAGACTGCTAAGCACATTCACCTTCCAGTCATACAACTGCAGACCACTGAGGATCAGCACTCAGAGCCACCACACCAACTATGCCATCCACACACTTAGGTGCACCATGATAATGCCGGTTAGAAAAATGTTCAAAGCAATGCCATTTATAATAGCAGGAAAAAGAGAAACAAGTTAAATAAATGTACCCAAAAACCCAACAGCTAAAGAAGTGACAGCAAGTCAACATAAAGAAAATACTACAGGGCAAGTACAAGGGGATATATAGATGAAATCTGCTATGGGGGAAAACATGAGGTGAAATATATATATATTGATTACAACTTCATAAAAGTTGTAATGGATTTCTTTTATTTTCTATAAAATGCAAGTTTGTTTTAAAGTTTTAAAGAACATACATGTTGTGAGCCCAGACGGTCTCTTATGGTCCCTTCCAGCTCTAGTATTTAATGATCCTATGAAAACCTCAAGTGTGCAATACCTTGAAAAACTGATAAATAGTAATACACACAATTTACAATATCAGGTGTCAGAGATGTGTTCTACCCAAGGGACTCCAGGGGTACTGGGTTGCAGGATTGGACCAAGAACTAGTCATGTAATATTCTATTGTAGTACCCTGACCCTTTAAAATGACAAAGCATGTGTAGGCAGTACTAGTTGCAAATTATTTCGCCACAGAAATGAAATATTGAATTCTGGCTAAAGAGTTACACTTCTTTTCCACATAGGTCTCTCTCAGTTGTTTTCCACAAAGTAATTTTAAAAAGCAAGCAAAGAAACACCAAACCAAAACCCACCCATAGAATCCAAATATCTAGTTTTATGCCCTGAAATATGTTTTAAAGATGTTTAAATATTATATTGGACCACAAATCAACCAAGAGGAAGGGGGAGATTTGATCTGAAAACAATTATTTTAATCCATCAATGATTTCTGTATAAGTCTTATATTCGGATTTTGAAGTACTTAAGATATTATAAAATTCACTTAAAAAATCAATGTAAAGTACAATATGCAAAAAACCCTACATACATAATAGAATAACAACAATGAAACAAAGTAGTTTGGAGGGGGTCCCTCATTTTTTAAAATTCTGCCTTACTAAAAATAGATCAACAGGGACTTCCCTGGTGGCGCAGTGGTTAAGAATCTGCCTGCCAATGCAGGGGACAAGGGTTTGAGCCCTGGTCCGGGAAGATTTCACATGCTGCGGAGCAACTAAGCCCGCACCACAACTACTGAGCCTGTGCTCTAGAGCCCGTGAGCCACAACTACTGAAGCCCACTTGCCTGGAGCCTGTGCTCCACAACAAGAGAAGCCACCGCAGTGAGAAGCCCGCTCACCGCAACGAAGAGTAGCCCCCGCTCGCCACAACTAGAGAAAGCCCGCGTGCAGCAATGAAGACCCAATGCAGCCAAAAATAAATAAATAAATAAATTTATTATTATTATTTTTAAAAAGATCAACAATCCAATCCCCGCCTTTAATTTCTACATGAGCTGCTTATATTTTCGGGGTGTAGATGAGGTTGACTATAAATTTAGTAAGATTACTTTTAAAAATTTACTTTTACTTTAAAAAAAAGACTTACTTTTAAAATTTTGTAGGATTTATGAGATCACTTAGAGGACTGCCAAGCTAAATGCGCCTGACTCCAAATGCACCTGACATACGCAAATGCAAACGGTGTAAAGCAGGATTTAAAAACCAGTGGATCTCTATTTCCTTATTCTTTCATTAATCACAGCTAAAATGTGAAATCAATTTTCTTATTAAAAGCTTACTATCACTTTTGTGCTTTAAGGAACACAGGCTATTAAAATGTAAAGTTAATCATATACATACAATAGATGATCAGTGAACCATTAAAAACACTGTGAGGAATACATGAAATTAAAGTAATACACATGGCACACTGCTGTCTGTAGAACTATACACATACACACACACACACACACAAGCCAGAAAAGGATATACAGTACTGACATATAGTGTACCCAGGTGGTGGTTCCCCCCACTCTCTTTTTGGGGAACACTGACATTTCCTAATTTTTTTTATAATTAATATTTGTTGTAAGGCAATACCTGTGAGCCTCAGCTGTGATTAATCTCTGAACTGAATTACCTGACTCAAAGCTGGGATGGAGCTTGTCTGAGAAGTGGTTTGAGATATGGGACCATTCATCTGTAAAATCGAAAACACCAAACACACCATCACAACAGTGTAAAGAAACATATTTTCAAACCATAGTAATTTAGCAAAACAAAACCCACTGAGAAAAGCAAATTTTTACATGACAAAGAAATTCAATGAGATATTCAAAATGATGCAGGAGCCTTGAAATTTAAAATATTTTGAAATTTTGACTGAACACCATTAAGTAAAATTCCTTGTAGTTTCCATAGGGAAAATTAAGAAAACCTACTTTTCCCAATGTCATTTAGAAACTTTAAATATTATTGCTTGACATGATAAAATCTTAAAATAAACAAATGCACTCAAAATTAAAAACTTACATAATTCTAATTAACTCTTTAAATAAATACTACTACAATGACTATAATGTTATTAAACTATTTACAAATCACTGCATTTTTCTTGGTGATTTTAAATCCAAAGCTTTAAGTATTCAGAGCTATAAATGACATGTGTTTTCTCTATCACTTTGAAACTGCTAATTTCCTCTACTAAGCAACCCCTAAATTTACTCAGAATATAACACCTATATTTCAGCATAAGATATGCTAGTGTTCCGAGTGTACTGTAGGATCTGTTATCAGAAGAGAAGAGAGGTACACCAGGCCAGTGTTGGCCTTTGATGCCCACTCACCAGATGAGCGCCGTCTTTGCCTTCCTGGACTCGCTGGCCCTGAGGTTCAGCCACAACCTTAGCGTCCTGATCAGAAGTCATGAGCTGTTTACTTTGTGGCTCCACTGGGAGAAGTTTAATGTTAGCCGTAGGATGCTGTAAAACAAGAGACAGTAAATTGGTAACTTGAGGTGCAGAGTGTAATTAATTCTAAAATGATATTACTAAGCAGTTTTAAAATTTTCAAGTTTTCCAGGACATATGTTTATCCCTCTGGAGTCTAAGTAGTTTAAAGAAATTTACCCATAATTTCCACCTTACGCACCCAAGAAATAATACTTGTTTTTTAATAAGTTTCTTCTTCACACTGATTTGGTAACCGTGATAATATCCTAAGACTTAGAAACTAAACGCGAACATATTCAAACCCACTTATGTTCAGAAAGTTATTTTTTAAAAACAGAAAATTACAAACAGAACTTCCAATTTGGGATTGATGAATCCTATATATATATATATATATATATATATATATATAT